TCTTGCATGCTGTTTGCCTTTTATTTGTTTAATCTATGGAAGATAAAAACCTGAGGATGTTAGGCCAGAGCTTACAATGCTGTTGGAATAGTCAGAAGTTGATAGGAAGTATCTCAGAGTAGTATTTATACCAGTCTCATTCATGCATTGTTTAGTTAGAAGAAGGAAAGGCTTCACTTTTATTGCACATGTACACAGGTATGCATACAAGAAATGCTGTGCAGTAAAGTACACATGGGCAAACATTTGCCCAACTCTTTTTCAGGTTTGACAATCAGTTCATAATAATTAAGAAAAGATTTGAAAAGTCCAAGCATAATGTAGTACTTGTCACCACATAACATTTACAGCTTCACTAACTGTAGCCAATATCTAACAATTATGAACCTAGCCTTTGCCACTTTGGGCATGGCACCTCTAGCTGTATTTTACTGCTGCTGGGGATGCTTTTATCTACAATTAAAAACACATTTCTAGTCTGTTTTTGAAAAATGGCCCTCATTTTTGTGCCTGTAAATTTGCTTCAGGAAATAATTGTGGGTGCCATTTATAGTACTTAGAACACTAACTACCTGATCACATCTACAAATTAGGCAATTAGACATCTAAGAACTAGAAAATGAACCTATGAAATAATCCTCACAGGTATTTCTAGAAGCAAAATTCCAACCAAAGAATTAATGAGGTCAGGCCCTTTCAATAACAGCAAAAAGCCCAGCACCTCTAAATTAGTTTTCATACAAAATGGTTATTGCCAGAGGTTTTGTTAGGTGAATGATGATACAAATATTTGACTAATCTGGAAAAGCAATGACCTAAAGCAGCATTTAAAAGTATTGACAAAAGCAACATGTGTGGAATATAAATATCTTAATAAAACTAAAAGTATTAATTAAAGGTGCTGGATAAATGGCCTCTGAAAATAGTATCCTGCATGCAAATAAAAATTTGATCATAGCCAGAAGAATTGGAGGTTGGTCCACATTCTTCCACCAGTTTGCCTAAAGCTGTTAAAGGGTAGCTTTAAATCCAGGCTCCAGAGCCTTTTCTCTGAAATCCTCAAAAATGTATACTTGAACTGAGGAATAATATTTATGAGGAGCTGAAGTTTCCCACCCAGAAGCTTTCTTCAGAGTGAATGATTTTGAAGAACTGTTTAATATTGAAATACAGATAAAGGAGCTTTCAAACTTCAATAAACTTGAAGTGAGAAATTGTAACAACCAAATACTGTTCTCTGAAGAAGTCAGATTGAACTGGTAAGAAATTCTCAATCTTCCTACAGCAATGCTCTAGCAGTAGCACATAAAGTAGGTGTTCAGCACCGTAGAAGAAGGTGGCAGTTGTTCCACCTTCCACACCAAGAGAGCTCCAGAACTGCAGACCAGTAGCTCTGATCACCACACCAGGCAAATAGGTATAAGCTATGAGAAAAAATAAGATTTGTAGGGACTTGGGTAAATATAATATTCATAGGAAGAGGTGCATAAAAATAAGAAAAGAGTAAGCTTTTTTAGAAAGTTTTTTAGAGTTGTGTGTCACAAACCTGTTGGAATTCTCTGAAACAAGACTGGTGTGTGTGTGGCAAAGGAACGTATGTGATATGTCTGGTTTTCCAAAATAGTTTTTTTCAGTGTTATTCACCAAATGCTCTTAAAGGGAGTAAGTGGTCAGAGAACAACAGGGTTCTCTTCTGAGCTGCTTTGACAGTGGAGGGGAGGTATCAGTATACTTCTGATAGGAATTATGCCGGGACCTACACTGCTCAAAATTTGTGATTTTGAAGATATAGTTGAGTAAAGTTATGATTTGGTGATGTCAAAAATTGTTTAGAAAGTTAATACTAAAAAGGATTATGATTATTTGAAAAGGATCTCATGGTACTGAATGGGCTTGGCAATGCAACAGCAGGTGACACTTTTTGTTGCTGTCTTCAAGGTAATGAGAAGGAGCTCTGCCTTTGCAGAAGTGAACTCCTACATAGCTGTTTCCAAAGAGGAAAGAGAACTTGGTGTCATAATGGAGTTCATGCAAAATGTCAGCTCTGTGGTAGCCTTGGTCAAAAATAAGAAATAAAATATTGATAATTGTTAGGAAGCAAGTAGAAAACAGAATGCAACGCATAATTCTGGCAGTGTACAACTCAGTGGCAAACTAGCATTTTGAATGCTACAAATAATAAGGGACCTGAAGAAGTGCAGATGAATATTAGATTGTCCAAAGGTGCGGAATTATTTCCATACAAGGGGAGAGTAAGTAGACCAGGTCTTCTCAAATGAAAATAAGAGAACTGAAGCAGAAATATGTCAGAGACACATAAATCCAATTAGTTCTGTGACACGAATGGAAAATCATTATTTATAACTTCTCAAAATGTAAGAACTAGAAGACATCAACAGAAATGGTTAGAGTAAAAACAAAAAGAAGTATTTTTTTCACACAACACAGTTAAATCAATGAGCTAATTAGCACAGAAGATTTTCATATAAGGCTGTATTTATAGTTTACAAAACAAATTCATAGAAAAAAGTAAGATACAGAAGAAGGATTTATACAGACGTTATACAGAAGGTATTTTTAAACTCAGTAGAGGTAATGCCATCTCCCACTTCAAAAATGCAGGAAGTTTTTATTCCAAAATTCCATATTTGCCACATTTATTTTTCCACAGCATCCATTACTAGCCACTGTCTGAGCTGGTACTACTCTAGAAATAGATTTTTATTCTGACTCATTGCAAGTGCTCTTACTGTCTAATTTCTAGTTCAGTGTGCTTCTGTATTATGGTAAATATTTCAGTAATAAGAAATGCAACTGAAATAACAGTTCATACATTCTAAAATGAGGAATAAGTATTTTGATAAATGTAGGGTATCTGGGACCTCTCGACTGGAAGTCCATCCAATTTCAACATATTTTTAAAGGATGCAAAAGTGTAGTTGTTTCAGTGTGCTTTCTGTCAGTTCTTCGCCTGCTTTAGATATGTTAGTATATGGTAGTATGCTATAGGAGAACTTTTCTGGACACTGAATGGAAATACTAGCATTTTTTAAATGAACATGGGTGTAGGACAATTTGTACCACAACACATATCTACATCTCTATGTCAGTCATTTTAAATATATATACACCCATCTATATGTATCTGTGAGTGAGAATAACCCTTAGTATGTTGCAAATAGGTTCTGGAGATGAAAAGCTTTCCATATTAATAGCCAAACATTTGCAAATGTTCCAGGTTATACATACATATATATACAGTGATACATAATGAAATGCATTTGTTGGATGGGAAGAACACACTGAGTTTCAGGTGGTGTTGTGGTAGAGGTTACATTTGGATTCACTGAAATTCATCCTAATATCACAAGGTGGGACATAATGAATGTAGACAGAGCAGGAAAATAATGCTCTTAACTGCACTGCTCTTCTCCCTCAAAAAGTAACCAAACAACCAAACAAAAATGAGGAATTCAAAGGACCCTTTCAAAGCAATGAGGTAGATACAGCTGTGGTAAAAGTCTGTTGAGTCAGTCAACTTCTTTCACGGCTGATTTTGTAGAAGCACAGTGCAGAGAATGTAAATCCTGTCAGTCGGAAGGGTACCCCTCAGCTGGTGTGCTGGGCGCTGCGCTGTGCACCCTGTAGGGCTGCTAGGTTCCGCAGGGGCAGGTGGTGGCAGGGGTGCCTTCATCTCAGCCCTCCTCCAGGGCCTGCAGCGAGGGCAGCGGTGCCTTTCCTTTGTGTTGGGAGAGTCCAGGAACCGGTAGGGAAGTGCTGGGTTAGAGGGTGTTGTGCAGTACCCTACAAGCACTGTCTCTGCCTTATTAGCGGGTTTGTGTGTGTTTTTTTTTTTTGTTTGTTTGTTTGTTTGGTTTTTTTGTCTGGTTTATGTCAGTGGAAGCTTGCGTGGATTTTAGATATTATTTTTTTTCTGATGTATTCAGCCAATACAGACTCCCTAGCCTCTATAACATTTGAAAATGTAATCTTTATTTATTGCAGCACTTCCATAAGGGCTTGTAACCTAAGCTGGGATAGATACGAGGCAGGGATATCCCATTTTATAGCCAGTAAAAATCAGGGTCATTGTCTTTGTCAGGAGAAGCACAGAAAGTCTTTGGCTCAACCAGGAACAACATCAAGGTCTACCTGTCTGGTTCCCTGTAGAATTGTCCCTCCTCATGCATCAGACATGGCATCAGAAAAGCAAACGCTTTAAGAAGCCTTGGATGAAATCGTGCACGTGTTAAAGTGCAGTAGATTTACATTTTATGAAGCCTCCGTCTGAAGATGGGAGACCAGTTACACATTAAAAATCTGTTTTAAGTTCAGGTTAACTCAAGCTTTAAAGCATTGCCAAATAATGCTGTGCCTGTTAGTGTAGGTCAGTGGTGGTTTAATTTCTTCTTCTTTTTTTTTTTTTAACTATATAGAGAACAACAGGTGCTAATGTGGTGCCAAAGTGGACATAAAAATCTATCCAGGGCTCTGTAGAGAGACAGTATCACAACAGCACTCCTCTATTCACCAAGAAACTCCAGTCTCACTTCAGGTGCAGTTACTGAAGCTGTCACAAGAGAAGCCAGATCCCTTGAGCTCTTGTCTCTTTGGCCGAAGGGGCAGTTGAACAGTAGGAAGACCACATTTGCCATCTGACAGATCCTAGGTTTCCCAAAACAACTGGAATGTTGTCAGGAGCAGCTCAGGGCAAAGACAGGTTGCTGCAAAGCTAATTTAGCTGTGCCTGCATAGGCAGTGCACAATTCCTTAATGGGAACTTAAGCAGCTTAGTTTAAAAAAGCAAACAAACCGTAAACAACAATAAATCCTCAAGAATACGTACTTTGCATGCCTAGCACAAGTCTTGGAAACACTGGTAACTCAGTGAAACAGCCAGAGGCTGTGTTTTTGTTTCTGGTTAATCTCTGTAAAGAGAGAAAAAGGTAGGACCTGCACGACCGTCCCTGGTTTTACCTCATCTCCTCTGCATTCTGCAGAACGAGCCTCGGGGAAAGCCAGAGGTCCTGCGGAGAGACTGCAGCTGAGCCGGTGATGCTTCGCTGGGGAGGATGGAGACTTCACGTGCAGAGACCCCAGGCCGTCACTATTGACAGCACAGGTGTTTCCAAAGTGCGATACTGTTCTGTACAGTCACAGGGAAGGCTTGCAGTCTAAAAAATGGAGGGGGAAAGGGACAAAACAGATAAATTGGTATGGTATGTCAGGCCGCTGCGACATTGTTCATCCCCTGTCTTTGGGGCACAGTTATGTGACTGACATAGGGAAGCTGAGATAGCAGCAGGCTTCTTTCTCGAGCTGTGGACTGACGGGTATGCAGGATTTTTAGGACGCCTGAGTTCGTGCTAATATCAGGAAAGCAGTTGAGTTATAAAGCACTGAGTTGTAGAAGGGCAAAGTCAGACTTCACATTTTGCTTGACCTTCAGAGCAACAGAAATCATTACTTACCCAAACAGCTAGGCCACTCATAAGCCGTTTTATGAGAATATAAAGGTTACGTATGAATTAGCGCACTTGAGAGTATTTGCAAGCTTCTAACTCCAGATGTGCACCCCAGCCATGCTCCAAATCCATGTCCAGGCAAGACACAGAAGCCTCCTACTCTTCCCTCGCCCAAAACACATACAACTCTCAGTTCAAAGGAAACAAGAAGGCATGGGCCAGAAGGCATGCTCAAGCCCCATCCCTGAGCAGGACAACTGGCCCACCACAGGATTCAGCCGCCTGCCCAGTCTAGACACAGCCAGGGCCAAAACGGAGCCATGGCATGCTCAGGCTCCATCCCTGACCAGGACAATTGGCCCACCACAGCATTCAGCCGCCACCCAGTCTAGACATAGCCAGAGGAAACTTCAGGTCTCCTCCAGACACCACTGAGCATTCCTCAGCCATCCAGGAGGCTCTCCTCTGGTAGCCAAAAATGCAAGTACTGAGGGTGTGGGGAATTAAGAAGAGAGTAGAACTGGAGAAGACACACAAGAGTAAAATTGGTAATTAAAGGTATTGAAGGAATTTCAAGTGAAAAAACAAGTAGAATGGGGCTCCTTGGCCGGGATGGAAGATGAGTGGATAGCATGTGTTCAGAGGGTCTCAAAGTCAGTAGTGGCACGCAGAAGGGGAAATGTTCACTTTCATGCTTTTGATAACAGAACTGGGAGTCATTTAATGAAACTGATAGCTGGTCAGTCTGATGGAAACAAAAGGAGATGTTTTTTCACACAATACATTTTGAAAACAGAATGCTGAAGCAACTGAAAGTTTTTATGGGAATTCAAAGATTAATTGGATAGATGCAAAGAAGGCGATTTCATCCAGGGCATTTCCATACCACGGCTTAGGTTCAGGATGTCCCAGAGCCATAAACCATTGAAAACTGAGGCAGCATTATGGGAAATATCATTATGTGCTTGTTGTATTCCTACTACTTTCTGTAAGTGTTTCTCCTTGGTGGCTGTTTCAGAAGAGTTGTTGGGCTTCATGGCCTACCTGGCATGTCTGTTCTGATGTTTTTAGGGAAGAGGTAGCAGAGAAAAGATTATCATTCACGATCTGAATAACAGTGCAGAGATTTTACTAATAACGTGATACGAGTAACCAAATAAACAAGTCATTAGTGTAATTAAGAGTGGAGGATTAACCGTACCATATCACCAGCCACTTGTTTTCATTATGAAGGCTTTTTTAGTGCTGTTCCAACTGTTTGGAAACTCATGGAGGTCTCAGAGCTCCCAGGGGCCAGGCAGTCAGCGAAATCCTGCAAGCACGGTGAATTCAAATGGGCAATAAGCAAAATAAGTGGGATTGGGTCACTTATCCCTCTTACCCCCCGTGACAGTGTTTATTTAGGTCACACGGAAAGCGAATTTCTCCTTTTGCAGGTGTCACAAAATTAGCTCATGACAATCTTCGTACAGGATTTCATTAAGTATTACTTTTGAGTTGTAATTTTATTGGACAGTCAGTTGACTCGTTTTTGACACTATTTCAGAGCTGGAAATTGGGAATTAATCATACTGTGTAATTTGTAGTAAAAATCTGTATTCAATTGCTTTGCAAATGCATATTTATTTGAGCAAGATGCTGCAGCAAAATATACCTGTGGTAGGCACAGGACACAGTGCTCATGGTGGGAGGCAATTTACTATAATTCAGTCCCAGCTGGTGACATCTGCTCTTATGTCATTTGGGGCCTTTCTTGAGCAGGGAGGTTTGTGCCAAACTACGTGTTCACTTGTTTGTTTTATGAGGTGAGAATAAGAGGATGCTAAAGATCATTTCTGCTCATAATATGTGCTAAGACCTTGTGCTCTCGAGGTAAAATGGATTAACATACTGTCTCTGTTAGTTAAAATTCCCATGGAGTTCTTCAATCTTGATATAAAAAAAAGTAATTTAATAGAAGAATGGAGCTAATTTAGGTCTTTTTAGGCCTTCATGTTGTGTAGATATATAATTTAGTATGGCCTGAATTACACTTACAAGGTAAAAGTGAATTAAGAGTACAATAAAATTAAATATTTTATTTAAAAGTGCCTTATATTTTTGTAATTTCTATTTAAGTAGGCCAACAGAGTGTAGAGCAGATGGAGACAGTCAAGACTTTATAAGTACCGTCAAATGTAAATGTCTAGTGGTAATGTAGAAATAGTTCCTTGGAGTTCTTCTCTGCCCCTTACTTCTTCTGTAATGTCAAAAGCTCTCTCAATCAAAAACTGCATATGTGATTTTGAAAAGTGCCTCAGTGCTTCCTGTGTATAATTTCTGTAGTTGTACAGAAGTTTTGCTGAAAGAGAACATCTACACCAGGCTTCATGAGATTGGCTGAGAATCATCAGCAACTTGAAAGAGCAGCAGCTTTTATATTTGCCTTCAGGATTTTGAGCTTTTCCATTAAAACGCCTTAATGATGATGTATTTTAATATTCTTATATTTGCATTTGGCTTCAGCATCTGAGATTTTAAGAAAGAAGTTCACCTAGTATCCCAGGACCCATTATGGAGCTTAGCGTGCAAGTCTTTCGAGGTAGCAGCTCCCAGCTGCTTTCCTGCCAGTCACCACTGCCATCCTCTGTGTTCTCCTGTTTCTGTCACCTGTGTCACTGGTCCCAGGAGCCCAGCTTTCTCCTCTCCCTGCCTCTTCCCTGTTCCATCAAAGTGACAGAGATCTCAGCCTGATCATAATGCCTAAGCAAGCGAGTCTGGGCTCCACGCCACGTCTCACCTCTGTTGTTGCCACACCTCACGCATCAGGAATGCTGCATTTCAGTGTCAGAACAACAACAAAAAAAAATCTCCTTCTAAATGCAACGCACAACCCGAAGTGGTGGTTGCTTTCTTTGTATGCTTTGTGCAGCCCCCAGGCTTGGAAGGCTTCGATCCAGACTGCTTCGCTCACTGGCAGCAGTGATTGTTTTGACTGGCATAAACCAGGGCACTGATACGCATATCCAAGCCCGCAAGGACTCCTTCAGGGAGCAGAAGTGGCAAGGTAGATATCAGAAAAGTCTTTCGCATTCTGCTAGAATGACCTGTACACAGAAATCTCTCCAGAAGGGTTTTTTGACCCCTACTACATGCTCAGCAGGCTGCACTGCAGACTGCAGCAATTCCAAATAAGCCATTTCAGCCCAGCATACGAATTACTTACTTGACTGCTTTGGTATGTTGTATAAAATATGTATTTAGGGCAGAGATTTTTAAAAAACATATCTCTGCAGAGTTTAAAGAAAACTGCTTCTTCGTAGCTGTGCAAGTCTGCCCCTTAAAGATGGAGGACCAAGTCCTGCTGCGAATGGAGCCATGTTAAAAGGTGACCAGTAGGGTGAGAGGCAGAACAGAACACCAGCTCTGTCTCTCCTCATTTATTAGGAAAAATGTAGCAATACAGAGCCACAGAAAGATTTCTCATTACAGAGGTGGTACTGCTTTTTTTCAGTACTCTCCAACAAATTTGCTGGTACATTACTGGTTACTAACACAAGCAGTAAAAATATCTGAAAAGCACCAAGCTCCACCAGCCAGCTATATTATTTCTTCTTCTTTATGGTGTTTTTTAGTCACTAGCTTGCAGACATGGATAACAGACCGAGCAAATCCAGGAAAGCCTGGTTGCCACAGGCAGGACAGGGATGCATGGTTGTGGTGTACCCTTTGCAGCTGATGTCCCAGTGGTATGTACACTGGTGAGGCAGGATGTAGATGAGGTAGATGATGGAGTAGGCGCAGTGCTGGTGTGTCTGCCAAGCAGTGTGTCTCCTGAGACGAGATGAGGTGATGTAAAACAGGAAAACTCCATCCATGGTGAAGCTCATTGCAACAAGGAGTTTGATGGTGTGTCACAGGTCATCGCTCCCAACATTTTGCTCCCTAGGGCTGGTGCTGTGCTGTGGTGGCAGTGATGCATGGAGAAAGCTGAATTTGAGCAGCCTGTAGCTTATAGCAAGGCTAGGCATGCTTCATTTTAATCACTGGCTGGTAAAGTGCCCATGCGTGGGCTGAGCATCTTGGATACCTGCTTGCCATTTTGCCCACACTGTGAATTTTCACTAATGTCAGTGTAATTCAGCATGAAACAATTATTCTTGTGCTAATTTCTACAGTGTCAAGCATCATGTGAATTCTCTCTAGAAGGCATGCTGTCCAAGCAGAGGAAGAGACATCCAGATCCTTATGCATGTGGAATATGTACCTGCTAAGCTGCCTTTTTATGACTGAGCATGTTGGTCATTACTCTTTTATTTTCCCAATCAGACTGGCTTACTAGGAGATCAGTTGCCTGCCAGCGTTTCTTTGTAGAAATGGAAGATATACGCTAAAAAGCATCCAGACATGGTAACCTCATTTTTTAAAACATTAGTAAGATTTTAAAGAGCCAAACCAATTATTTTTGAAATATGGTAAAAATCGTTTGCTCCCTGGCTAACAGCTGTGCATGCCAAGTTCTGCTCAGTGAGCCAGTTTTACAGCCAGCTGTAAACTTTCGAATTTAAGGGTTTATGATGGAAACTGCAACTCTTGCCTTCACCAAAGCTGTGCAGACACCCCACGGTAATATTGATTTAATTACATGCTGCATAGTTATTACTGGTAACAAAAGCAAAGGGCACACAG